TGGTTCTGGTTGACATTTAAATTTAAAAGAAAATTATTTTTTAATATAATAATTCCAAATTACACATTTGATGGATGATCCTCAAACCCAGGGTGATATATTGTAAAAGTCTCTCTCTGTAACTATTTAATATTTTAATATGTTGTATTGTCCCATTTACACAATCTTTCATCCTTTCTCAATAATTTTTAATAAGCTTATTATGTATTAATGACTAATAATTAAGTTCTCACTGTCCTCGATGCTGATGGAACAGATCAATTACACAACATTTATCTTTAATAATCTCACCAAAGATGTAAGTTACATTATAGTATTGTCTTATTGTCTTTAACTTGTATATTGATCCATAGTTCCCTGAAGATGATAATAAACATTATCGAAAGCTCGGATAAACTTTAAAGAGTACACTTTATTTTTGCTGCATTCCCCAAATCGATTCCCAAAATTGTCTTCGTACTTGTCAGCAACAACGTCCATTCTTCTTATATATATATATATATAAGTTTAACATATAATTCAAATAACAAAAGTTTTAATCCAAGATACAAATGTTCATTTTGACACCTAGCTGAAAAAAAGCAGCTGTATGTGTCAGGTACCTACAAATAGGCATTTTGTGTTAATATATATATGTAAATATCAAATAATTGCACTTAAGAACCTACAATCTAATGTTACAAAAAGGAAGGGAAAAAGATCATATATAAAAACACCTCACCCCACACTCACACAAACCAAGACATTCATTAACAATTAACAATTTGATACAATGATAAACCCAAAATCTGATGCAATCAGGAGCAAACTCCACCAAAATAAAACCTCAAAGTAACTCCACAAATATGTTATAATTTTTATAAATTGAAGTTCTAACTTTTTTATCGAATTGTTTTTGATTTTTTATGTCTCTAATATTTATTGGCAACAAGTTATAAAATTTTGGCGCGAGGTATGTTAGAAATCTCTGATTCAAGCTTTTGTTACTTTTGGGTATTTATAAATTTCTCTTGAGTCCTACTTCTTGTACCATACCCATGTGTTACATACTTTTCGCATTTTTCCTTATGAATATGCGCACAAAACTGTAATACATACATCAATATGACATTAAATATATCTTCACTGTAAAGTTCATGAGTTGGATATCGTTTTTCCTTTCTATGTATAATTTTGAGAATGTAGTTTTGCGTAACGTTTAGTTGCTTTAATGCATTACCGTAAAGTCCCCCCCATACCACTATACCATATCTTAGCAAAGACTCCACCAATGCTTTGTATATCATTATAAGTAATGATTTAGCTAATATTTCGCGTAACAGATTATGTATCAGCTTTCGTATACTATTTTTTAGTTTAAGAGTTTGATTTTCCCATTTCAAATGGTTGTCTATAATAATTCCCAAATATTTAGCATTGGAAACTTCCTCTATATGTTAACATTCAAGCCCTCCACAAAAATAGTACTAAACTCTGGACGATTTACTGACGTTGCCGAAAAGGCCATATAATTTGTTTTATTTGAGTTTAATGTTAGTTTGTAGCAAAGAATATTATAGACTAACGTCTCTAGAAGTCTCGTCCGTATTCTGATTTTTGATACCTCGATGGACGCCGGCTTTTGCCGGTGTGGACGCTGGCTCGAGTCTATTGCCCACTGTTGCCGAGTTGTCAGTGCTGTTGATTCGGCGTCCAGCCAGCGAGCCTGCGTCCGTATCCGCTTCTCTGAATGAAGTTATTAGAGTAAAATATTTGCTTTGCATGCATAGGGAGACAGACGCGTGCCAAGAGGAATTAGGAAGTTAAACATATATTTTCTAACATATTTTATAGTTTACCAACGAATATCATAGATGGATGCTATTCTATCAGTTTCTTTAAGTTTTTTTTCAGTATATTTGGCGAATTTGCCACTTAGAAATTTATAGCTTTATTCGGGTTCTGTTTTTCGGACCGTTCGCAAACCATTCTCGAACTGCGCAGAACTGATTGCGTACTTAATTTAGTCCTGAGAACTATTCTCGGGCTGTTCGGAATTGGTCCGAGTTTCGAAAAACACGAACGTTGCCAATGAACTCTAAATTAGACATTTGACATTTTTGTCCTGTCTTTGCTTGAACCAACATAACCCTAATAAAATAAAAACAAATTTAAATTTGGATATTCGTTGGTATTGTGATTTTGTGATCTGTGGTATTGTTTAGATTTTGATTTTGTTAATTAAATAATTATCTTATATCATTTGCTTTTATTTAGAAGTTCTTTGGCCTATTTAAAAAATGGACGATAACGGTAAGAAATTCTTTGCAGTGTTAAGTAAATAATAATAGTAATTAAACCTTGTTTTTAGATTTAGTTATGGGCGAATTTTTGTGTTTTAAAGAAAAGACACCAGCAGAAGAGGACAAATATTTCACCAAAGAAAAGACCCTGAAGCTACTAGTGCTTTATAAAAAGTACCAAAAACGATTAGGGACATATGACATAAAATCAAAAAAGAAGCTGTGGGAGGTCATCGCAAGGGACCTCTCTAACGAATATAAAATAACTATACTTCCAAGCAAGTGTGAGAATAAATTTAAGGTTCTAGATCGCAATTATAAAAAAATTGTTGATCACAATAATCAATCTGGATGGGGTAGGAAGACTTGTGACTTTGAAGAAGAAATGGATGACATTTATGAAAAAAAAAAGAGCCTGAAACGAATTTTACTTCTATCAAGTTCAGGTGTAGAGCCAGCTGAAGCCAAGGATTCTCAAGACTCTGTACCTGTCATTTTAATTACGGAAACCGAACCAGAACCTTTATGCTCTAATAAAAAATCAGATAATGACACACCAAAGGTTGAAGCAAAAGCAACTCCTCAAAAATTTTCACTTAAAACAAAACGAGTTTTGAGCCCATCATCAACCTATAAAAAAAGGAATGATATATTGGTGGATATGAAAAACGATTTAAAATCATTTTGTGAAAAAAAAAAAAATAGAAGAGAGGAAGAGAAAATAGCGATTGCTAAAAAAAGACAGGAAGAAAGGGAGAAAAGGAATGCCATAACAAGGGAATATTTAGATTTTTTAAAAGAAAAACAACGATGAAGCGAGCAACTCTTTAATTAATTTACCTATTTCATATTCATTAGGTTAATATTGTATATACAGGGTGTCACGAAAGGTTTACATAATCCTTGCTTACATCCATCACAGGTAAATATTTCCTTCGTTTTATCCTTGCATTTCCTGCACACATCGCATTCCATGATTTATGCGATGCGACCACGCCGCAGGTTTTCACGGTCAAATTATGTGTTTATTTTCATACAATTGTGGTAAAAATATCCAGCAAATTCGCCACCTTCACTCATACACTAGTCCCAATCATTAATTAATTGTTTCCACTAATTTCCACGTTTTAATTTTCTCTAGAAATTCCCATTTCGATGATATTAATTCACAAAAGTAAACACAAACTCTTACAGCGTTGCCAAGTCAATAGTTTCGCCAAATAAATTGAAATAAATCCGAACTACTTATTCACAAATCGCACAACTCTCAGTTTCCTCGGAGCTAGGCAGCTGTTCTCGCTCGAGATCTCAGACGAGAATGCGATATTGGTGTCAGTCATAGTAATTGAAAACATCCCTGAGGTTATTAGTTGAATCTTGAGTGATTTGTATCACATGAAAAAAAAGAAAGAAATTTTAATTATCTTACCGCAAGTTAAAACTGATTTGATTTTGTCCCAAAGTGAACATCTCCAATTTTTTAAGCCTATCAACTTTTCCAGTTTACTGATTTTATTCTTAAAAAGAGGGCAAAAAACTAGGCACCGTTGAAAAGAGAATTCGATGACCTTTGAAATGAGGTATCGCTCAATCCCTACTGCCATTTAAGATTTAGGGGTTGGCGCTTACCCCCGCGAGAGGGTTGAAGTGACAACATTGAAAATATGTGCAAAAGATTTCCCCCTCCGAATAAAAATCGACGGGTCCGAGCTATTTTTTTCAATGAACGATAAATACGAGATATCGACCTTGTTTCGTTTTCGCTGGCCCACCCGGTATATAATCATATAAAGCTAATCGTATTCAACAAAACCATACATGTGATTGAAGTAAATGAGGTAGAACAATTATCTCAACTGACTTAAAGCTAAATAAATAATTAACAGAACTGATAAAATAACAAGTCATTCTTGATTATATTCTAATTTTCAGATTATAATAATATAAATACCCATACCACATAGAACATAAAAGTAGGTATCAGTAGTCCAATCTATTATCAATTGGTTTTAAGTACCTTTTCCATAAAGGTACGTGCCGAGTCTTTTAATAATAGCTTGTGTTTCAAGGGTCTATACTGCGGGTTTTCTGATTGTTTCTATGTCAACGCCAGCTCCAAAAGCGGCTGAAGTGCTGGCATGTCTTGTGCTATGGCAACTGAACTTGGGACGTTTATGCCAGCCCTTTTAAGGTGTTTTTGATCCAGTGGGCAATAGCTTCAGTAGACGCAGAATGGAAGCGTTTTTTGCAGTAAGCATTAGCGATTTATTATTATTATCCGTCATTTTCCTAACTTATCAGAAACTTTCAGATAGTGCACAAGAGCTCGAGCTGCGCATAGAGTAGGGTTTTCTATGAAAAAGGGCAAAACTATTACAGGTTGTGGTTTTTTATGCCCAGAGATCTTAAATATCTCTTTTATTACAATTTCTACCCTATCGTCTAGGATAGTTATGTAACTCAAAGAAATTTTTGTCCATCAAAAATAAGCCCATGTTTCCTACATAAACATATGTCCGGAAACACTTCCTTTCCAAGATACAGGATGTTGAAATTCTAAGAAAAAAACAATTTTTTTATCATATTCCTCAAACCACCCTAGATATTTCATTGAAATTTTTACACTGCTTCACGAAATTTCTTTTATTCCTGTACAGTTAACTATTATCTCTTCTCGGATACCATCGCAAATTATAGCCATTTTTACCTTTGTAGAAGTCACAAATAACCAAGCGTACTTAATTGTTTCCATGTCATTGACTGCAAGGAGATCTCGTAGATAGGACATGTGGTGTTTTCTGTGCGTTGGTAAATTTCATCTATAACACAATGTAGACTTGTATCAATGGTTCTTGTTGAAACAGGAGAATCTTCTAAGGTGTCCATTGATACGAGTTTCTGTTTCATTGAATTCCGCTAACGCATGTAACATGAATTTAGTCTGGTGATTTGATTAGGGTTGCCAAGTTTTTGAAATGGAAAAGCGGGAGGTTTGAATTTTTGGGTGCCACGCCCAAATTTTTACGAAAGTCGTTGAAAACAGCCAGTGAAATGGTCAGCCTCAGAACTGTTAATGATAGGCTGTTTGGACTTATTTCAGAATCAGTTCTGAATTGAACTGCGCTTGCGCAGTTGCTTATATATGATCGATATGACCAAATACGCAAGCGCAGTTCAATCAGAACTGATTCTGAACTAAGTACGAACAAACCTTATATTCATATGATTTAGGTGGTGAATGAGAAAAACCATTAATATTTCTTATGTTCAAGTTTATCTGTAGGCGCTTTTTTTTATCCAAACCCTACTAAATAAAGATGCAGATGCCCTATTATCTTTCTCTATCCAAATTCGTAATTTTTGAAAAGCGGGAGTTTTTTTGGAAAGCGTAAGTTTTTGCCATAATAGGTACATTCAGGCGGTCCCAGCGGCTTAGTTCAGCTACTCAGCAAGAACTTTATTCTTGAAACGGGAGCAGCGCTCTCATTGGAACGAAGTTTCTGTCTTTGTCGTCCCGCATAACACTGACAATGACAGAGCAATCGTTCTTATGAGAACGCTGTTCCTTGTTTTCGAGAATAAAGTCCCTGCTGAGTGGCTGAGCTTAGCCGCTGGGACCGCCTGAATGTACCCAATAATGTTTCACGGCGGGAGGCGTGACAAAAAAGCGGGAGTCTCCCGCCTGAATCGGGAGGGTTGGCAACCCTAGATTTGATGCCTGAATAAGTTTCTCCTGATTTTTTTCCAATTGTTCAATGTCTTGGTGAACTACATCATTAACGCCAAATAAAGATGTTGGTATTTTTCCCACTAATCCTAGCTTGCGTCTATTTGCTCTTATGATTTTCATTCCTTGGTCCATTGATTCCATTTGTCTCTGCTTTTCGTTTAAGTGGTCGTGTTAGCGATGAACATTGTGTGTTTGACTCTAATTCCCTTGCCTTATCACAAAGAACTCCAACCTGTTTAATAGAATTACCTATAGTTCGAGTATCATTTACTAAATCATTTTTATCAAACTTCAGTACGAGTCTTAATATTCCCCTGTCTATTTTGGCATGTCCTATATCCTCGGAATATATTCCTGGAAGTGGGTAGTGTAAACTATATTTCTCCGCTGTAGAGCTTTCCAATGTTACGAGAAATAATATAGCCATGAAGGCTACGTTCCATAGTTTTACACTCCTACAATCCGGTGTTTAAGCATAGTTGAGTTTAACTATTTTCATTGCACTGTTCGATTTATGCAATCAAAATAAACCCTTATAATGAAAAAATAAGTACCTGAACAGTTAAAAAAGCAAAAAATAATAAAATTTGATATCATTACCCACCAATTCAAACGGACGCCAAAAAATTATGACGTCACCGCCCGCCAGTGCAGAGAATCATCAACAGATGGCGCTACTAAAGGATCTTTTCAAATATAATAGTCCAATAGATGGCGCTAGGAGATCACTGTACTTACAGTGACTAAATAAGCCTTTACAAACAGTGGCGACAATAGAGTTCCCGTCGCCATTTTGTGCCTCACCTCTTGCTAAAGCCGCTTTCCAGCTGTGTGCTTCAAGCACAGTGCAGCACATTGTTCTGTGTTTGAAACGCAAAAGTTAGCAGCTCTCGAAGCGCAGTACGGCTGGAACACGAACACGCGCTTGAAGCATTTGCGCGCGCAAAAGCTCGATTGCGTGCTCAAAAGCGTCAGCTGGAAAGCGGCTTAATGAACACGCTTATATTAGCTTCACCTGTATGTATGTTTGTTTGTAAGGCCTGGGGATCATTTTCCAGAATCCGGATCAGTCTGTACAAGTCTGGATAAGGTCTAGATAAATCTGGATAAAGTCTGTAAAAGTCTGGATAAGTGTGGATATTGTCTGGAAAAGTCTGGAAATCTCTGGAAACGTCTGGAAAAGACTTGGAAATTTCTGGAAAGGGTTGGAAAAATTCTGGAAAAGGTCCCAATCCAATAGACTGTAACGCTCTTTTGTCGAAACAAAAGAATGTTCATAATTTGTGCTCGACTATTGCTCAGTGGTAGTTTAGCTTGGGGTGGTCTTTAGTGTTGGTACAGTAGAGAGAGGGCGCCACTAGTTCGTATAAATTATTTTGATTACCAAGGAATAGCCAAACTAGGCACTATTCCATTAGTTAGTTATTGTTTAAAAAGATAAATTCAAAAAAATCTGAAAAGGTAAAATAAATCCAAAATCCAATAGCCATCTGACATTCAACCCATTCAATAAAAACACAAGCTTTGGAATTCTAAACACAATTATTTATTTAAGTTAATTGTCATTAAAAAAGTTTGTGACAAGATGGCGAACCTTTTCTTTATGGTTCTAAGAAAAATTATTGTCTAGTATCCAAGTTTTTTTTTAAAAAAAAGAAAACATTAAGCAGCTTTTCAAAAGCAGAACTCAATTTGAATAAGTACAATAGAATTGAAATTTAAGAACAATCAATAGATACCTATGAAGAAATCTACCTAAATATAAATGATGAAGTCACAATATCATTAACTTTCAATTTTTGACTTAAATCAATTAAATCAATAGAAAACAATTTATTCAATGCAGAAAGGTAATAAATAATCCTTAGGCAGTTATAAATGCCAAAACCTACAATCAAAAGTATCGGGGAGAGCTCTACCGTTTTACCTGTAATTAAAATTCAAAATGTGCAACCATGAAACTCAAATCCAACTACCTAAAGATTTTACATTGATTTAAATACCTTGTAGAATTACCACTTTATTGGTTTGAAACTAAAGGTTAGATTTACCTCTAAAAGTTAATGAATCCCAGATATATTATATCGGTTAGTATTCGGTACAAAAGAAATAAATTTGGAATAATTATAATAATCCATAATTATTGGATACTAGATAAAAATAGCGAAAGCGATAATAAAGGTAGTTATCTATCTGATTACGGCAATGATTAATAATTAATCAAATAAAAATTACATTAAACTGTAGTTAGCTATTTTAGCCAAATACTACAATACGGTAAACAAGCCGGTAAATGATTTTATAGTTATTAATTAGCTAATTAAGCTAGTCGATAGTGAGCGATAAAGAAAATAATAATAATAATTAACAGTTATTAATATTTGTAAAGATAATTATTAGCTAATAAAGCTAATCGATAGTGAGCGATAAAGAAAATAATAATAATAATTAACAGTCATTAATATTTGTAAAGATAATTATTGGCTAATAAAGCTAATTGATAGGGAGCGGTAGAAAAGAGATAATAAGTAACGGTAATTAATAAGGCGCATTTACGGGACCCATAGGTAAGTAATTATACAAGTCTGGACGAAATCCGTGGAAATTTTCATGAATTTGAGATCCATAAGCACCAAACTGACGGAAGGCAATCATCCAATGGTCGGGGATCAATCTCTTATAAGACACAACTTTTCTTGTAGAGGGGGCCCAAACTTGCTTTGGAAATGCAGTACAGCATGGTCTCAAATTCGTCAAATTTTCACTCAGAAGTGTAGGCGTGGATTTTTTATCCTGTCCCAAATTGCCTGAACGGAATGAAGAAATATAGGGACTCATTTATCAAAGGGAAAAAGGGATTAACATACCTGAGCGGCCGATAATAACCTCACTTTCAGAAATTTACACAAAAATCAACAATCTATTGATTTTTCAGGAAACGTTCCAGCTGGCACAACTACTCACTCTTCTGGCTAGCTAAATTTACATAATTTTGGGCTCGATGGCCAAGAATGAAAACCAAAATTTTTGGATTTCCTCAGAGACGACCTTTTCAGTCTAACTATAAAATCGAAAAGAAAAGTCAAAAGTACCCCTGTGGTTCTGTCTTTCTTCCTCTGTCAAGCCTGTCGAAATTATAAAAATGACAGCGCTACCGGTTTTCAAAAAAATAACCCTAGTTAGGTTCGGAGTTGGAGTAGAGTGAACAAAACTAATGGAGTCACCCGCAATATGGTAAAAAGCAGTACCCGAACAGCTGGAGTGCGAATGGAGGTACCCGAAGTGTACGGAGTGAGCAAACCGAAACCACCTTTCAATAAAATAATTTTCGTTATTAGGTTAGGAAACTAGTCAGAAAAATCATAGATGTCGCCAGGTGTACGGAATAGTATTTTAAACTAAGAGCAGGTAAAGACATAAGGAGTAGGAACGCGCTGGCTTTAAGATTTTAAATGTGTCCAAAATATGTGAAACTAATTGAGAACAATTAAATATGTTCTTGTGACATTTCAAATGTTACAAGACCTGGGGATCATTTTCCAGAATCCGGATCCGTCTGAACAAGTCTGGATGAAGTCTGGAAAAGTCTGGATAATGCCTGGAAAAGTCTGGAAATCTCTGGGGCGAATTCAGGAATGACACACTCAATGTGAGTGTGACACCGGTGCGACGCACTAGCCGTTCATAAATGCTATAGGCACACCGAGTGCGCGCACTCTGTGCCGTTCAGAAAGTACTTCAGTCGCGCTCCAGGTGTCGCACCGGTCACACTATAATTTTTTGGTGTGGCTGCGGTGTGATTGTGTCTTTATGTCAACAATGTCAACCATTTCTCCCATAATCTCAATAATTCCACCAAATATAAACAAAACACAAATAAGAATTAAAGTTTTTTCTTCAAATTAAAAAAATGAACAACAAAATAATACATCGAACTAAAAAGTGAAAAATAAATATAGTTTAAAAAACTAAAAAACATATAGTAAATTGAACTAAAACACCGAAGGCCGAGAATGTGCTTTTCCACCGAAATACACATACTATTTTTTCTGCGATCGGTTGAATATCTGTTTGTCTTTTTGTTCCAATTATTCAGCAGTAAGAGAATCACTTTCCCGGCCTAGGCCGGAAAAGTGTTTGCCGTATTGTTATTCATTGATTCCTTAGC